ACAATGGAAAGCATTAGAAGGTGCTGAAGCAGCGCTGGGAGAGAAGACGAACTCTGCGTAGTGTGACAATAGTTTGAGATGGTATTCTTTTTTTTGTTTTGAGAAACAAATTTAATTAAAATGCTATTCTGTAATTCCGCTACAAAATGAGTTTGAATTTCAGAACCCGTCTGAAAACAACATTGCCATCTTAAATGATATTCTCTAGAGATAATCTTTTTAAAGATTTCACTAATTTGGATCAATAAAAATTAATTTTCTCACATTAAAACTATGACAGTTAACAAAAATAACTTTAGTATGTGGCTGGTTTCTATTTCTATTGAAACTCTATTATCATACATGAATTTTAAGTTTTGATTCCTGCACGAAGAATAATGGATTAATGACAAATTTTTGTCTTGATCCTAATAATTTACTTTATTTTTTCCAGGTTTACAATAAGGTTAGTTAATACATCCATCACCTCACATATTTACTTTTTTTTGTGATAAGAATGTTTAATATCTATTCTCTGAGAAACTTTCAAGTTTTACATATAAAACAACTCTTATTTCTTTATTGTAAAGTATAAAAAGACATGTCCCTGCACCAGGGTATTGTTCAATCAACCTACAAATCAGATAAGGGTACAATTAAAAAAAATATTGTTGCAAATTTTTGTTTATTTTGGGGGAATTAATTTTAGGGAACTTTTGGAAATAGTCTGAAATGATGTGGAACCAGGTAGATAAAGTGGGTTATCAAACTTTGAAATAACATTTTGGGTGATTTGTGATGAGATAGTACTAGATTTGTTTTCCTCCCAGTTCTTCCTTCTAGCCTGACTTTGGGTTTCAAAAGTCTATGCTTCATGGAGGAATGGAAAAAACTGAAAATATGAGCATTAGGGTTTGAAGAATATCTGATGAGTAAGAGCTAGGCTATCATACCCTCATTTATTCTTTCAATAAATATTTATTTGATGCTTACATGACCAGGAACTGTTTCCATGACGAGAAAAAGATTTCTCAGGAGGGTGTAAAAGAAAAAGCTGCAGGGAGCAGACACTGTGGATCGTAGAGAAAAGGGGTCCTTGTAGCCAATGTCCTGGGTTGAGCTGTGGAGTTGGGCAGAACAATAGAAACTCCAGATAAGTTTGGGAGAGTCAGGAACAGAGAGAATGTGCATCTTACTCTCCTGAGAGAGCCCAGCAAGCCAGTGACATCCAGAGGTGAAATGGTAGTGAGGTGTGTTTAGCCAGAGACAGTCAGGAAGAGGTTCTGTGACCCGGTAAGGTTCAGGAGCAGCAGGATGTGCCCAAGAGGGGCACAGAAATAGACATGTCCTAGACGGTCATGCAGAGAGAACTGTGGCCATGCTGGAAGAGAAAGGGGCAGAATGATCACCTCCTCATCTCAGGAGCCCACTAGGAACCTGAAAGCAGCTGAGAGAGAGTGGGACCTAATGATGCCTTGTGGTTAAGGCTGACGTGCAACTCAGGCATCATCTTCAAAGCTTCAGGCCAGGTAGAGGTGTGGATGTGGCAGCAGAAAATACGGAGGGGGGATGATGTCCCTAAGGACCAGATGCTTCACCCCCACCCACTCCCACTCCTGACAACTCAGCATTATATTTCTCCCTGGAACATGGATAAAAAGTTAGGTGAAGAGGAAGAACCCTAAATTTATTAAAATTAAATTTCCAGCACATAGTAAAAGGGATGCATAGTATAATGTGAGCTGAGTTATAGAAAAATACAGATGGTTTTATTTCTTGTACTTCTGAGTGTATAAAGCAGAGATTAGTAAGCACCACAACTATCAGGGGGCAGTGAGGTTCAGAGAAGTCTTCCTGGGGGCCGGCCCCGTGGTGGAGCGGTTAAGTGAGTGCGCTCTGCTGCTGGCGGCCCCGGTTCGGACCCCGGGCGCGCACCGACGCACCGCTTGTCGGGCCATGCTCTGGCGGCGTCCCACATCAAGTGGAGGAAGATGGGCACGGATGTTAGCTCAGGGCCAGTTTTCCTCAGCAAAAAGAGGAGGATTGGCAGATGTTAGCTCAGGGCTGATCCTCCTCACACAAAAAAAATAAAAAATAAAAAAAGAGAAGGCTTCCTGGAGGAAGTGTGTCTGAAGCAGGATGTAAAGAGCGGGCAGGAGTGGCCAGAGGACTTAGGGTAGTAGCAAGAAGGAAGGTATGCCCTGCAGAAGGAATGGGTTGCTCAAAAGCCTTGAGAGCTGAAACAACCAGGGGTGCTCACTGGAAATGTTAGCAGTTCGGCATCTTTGGAGATTGAGCACAAAGCGTGAATGCAGGAGTCGAGCAGAGAGTTAAGCAGGAGGGTCAGGTCAAAATGATATGAATGAAGTTGTATGTGATTATGTGATTTTACTTTTCTGAGGAAAACCGGGCCCCAGCCCTGCTTGTCTCTCCAGGCCCATGCCACTCCACACTCCCCTTGTTCACTCTGTTTTAACCAGACTTACCTCCTTTCGGTTCCCGAAACATGACAAGCTTCATCTCACCCCAGAGCCTTGACACTAACTATTCTTTTTTCATTATGCTTTCCTTTCTCCTAACACATCTCTCTCACTTGTACTTATAGAAGAGGAGTGGCCCTTAAAATGGCCACCTTGGAAAGCCATATACTTATTTATTGATATTATTCTTGTGTAAACAGTTTCAGCACTTACCTTCAGAAACTATCAGCCGTATCAGAAACCCCATTTTTGTTAGCTTGTACTCAGACTTCCTTTTTGACCTAAAGTCGTAATATAATGCTGAGAGTTACACCGTACTAGGCTTTGGATGAGATTTGTCTGTTTCCAGGAACCAACTCCATCCCTAATGGAGGCAGATGGACAACTGCCAAATATCTTCAAAGGAATTAACCATAGGCTTTGAAGGTGATAGAAATGCCTTAGGCAAAAGCAGTATATCATTGGAATAAGTGAGTCCTCTTCTAATGTGGTTCATTTGAATGTTTGCATAAGCTTATTAGAAAAAAAGCCTCTTTATCTTTTTTTTTTGTGAGGAAGATCAGCCCTGAGTTAACATCCATGCCAGTCCTCCTCTTTTTGCTGAGGAAGACCAGCTCTGAGCTAACATCTATTGCCAATCCGCCTCCTTTTTTCCCCTTTTTCTCCCTAAAGCCCCAGTAGATAGTTGTACGTCACAGTTGCACATCCTTCTAGTTGCTGTATGTGGGACGCTGCCTCAGCATGGTTGGACAAGTGGTGTGTCGGTGCGTGCCCAGGGTCCGAACCCAGGGCACCAATAGTGGAGTGCGCGCAACCAACTGCCAAGCCACGGGGCCAGCCCCCCCCAAAAAGCATCATTATCTTAAAGTCACATCTGATGGACTCGTTGGTGAGAGGACTTAAGAAGACCTATTTTTACTCAAATTTATGGTAAGTAAAACCAAAATACTTGCTCTTGAAACACACACACACACACACACACACACTCCCAAAAATAGCTATGCTGGTGAGATCTGAGTTTAACTGTAGAACCAAGTGAGTTCAGAATTAAATAACTTATTTTATCATATCTTGATCTCATTGACTACAAAACACATATGGTAATAATTCTTTAGCCACTCAGTCACTGTAGACAAATCAAGATAAGGGAATGTACCTACTTCGCGAGGCAATACCTCTTTTGAACTCTGTGAAGGATATTTCAGCCCTTACTTATGCAACTTTCTACTAACAGATAAAAAAGAAATCAGGGCCGGCCCCATGGCTTAGCGGTTAAGTGCGCGCGCTCCGCTACTGGCGGCCCGGGTTCGCATCCCGGGCGTGCACCGACGCACCGCTTCTCCGGCCATGCTGAGGCCGTGTCCCACATACAGCAACTACAAGGATGTGTAACTATGACATACAACTATCTACTGGGGCTTTGGGGGGGGAAAAAAAAAGGAGGAGGATTGGCAATAGATGTTAGCTCAGAGCTGGTCTTCCTCAGCAAAAAGAGGAGGATTAGCATGGATGTTAGCTCAGGGCTGATCTTCCTCACACACACAAAAAAGAAATCAAAGTGGAGTGATCCTGAGAAAATTAAATAGTATAATTTTGCCCTTAATTAGGTAACTATGAATGTTCATAACTGGAGTAAATCAATACAAACAGAAGACATTTCAGTATTTTATTAGTTCTATATAGGTGATATAAACAACAAAAAATCAAAGCTATGGTACAGGAAATTGTTCAAAAGGAATGTTCATTAAGCAACATTACTGAAACAAAGTGAACATGATTTAATCTATTCAAGTTAATTTCAGTATCTGAGTCATGGAACTGTTAGCAGAAGAATTTGTGTTCCTGAGTTTCATCTTCTGTATTGTTGATGTTTCCCTTTAATTTGGCAACAGTACCACTGTGAATTCTCAGTGAAGACTGATGAATAAGAGGCTATGTCTTAAGCTCTGAGGATAAAGCCAAATGTCCTTCCAGAAACATACTCTAGGAGAGAAGATATTTGTTTGTTTCTAAGGTCATCTAATTATCAACTGATGTCTCAAAGCCTCAAAATTCACAGTCCTTTTAACTTTTATTCTAGCAAGTATCTAATTGAACCTTAGCAAGATCTCTGGCTTTATAATCTTCACTGGCAGCAAACTCCACATATTAACTAGACACAGACACACACAAATTTATTTTTTCCTCATTTAAAATCTTCTACCTGTTATCTTTAGGAAATTCTTTAAGCTTTTATTATTCAGGGAAATAAACAATACTATTCTTCTCCGCGAGATTGATTTGGTGGTCCTTTCCTAGTGTACGCTCACTCATTTCCCTTTTTCAGAACACTAAGTAGAAGTGGACTTGGGTTTTAATTAAATCTCTCAAAGAATTGATTTAAGTGACTGGCTTTGATTTATCATCTGTGCACCATGTGATAGGGGGATCCTTTGAAGAAAGTGCATGCAGATAACTTGATAAAATGTAACAACCTTGATGTAAATTCCTTTTCTCTTCCTTCATGTCAATGGAGACTATCTATCTATCATACATCTATCATCTGTCTGTCTATCTAACTATCTTCTTACATAAGCTATAAAGAACTTCTTCGATTCATGGGCATAATCATGCAGCCAACTTAGAGGTGTATAAAGAACACTAGTGTGGATACAGGTGATCTCAGTTTTAACTTTTAGCTAACCACCAAATTACTATATTGCATGAAATAATTCATTTAATTCTTTTAGGTGTTTGTTTCTTTACTGGCTTAATTTTGTCTTAACTACTCTATAGCTTATTTGTTATCAAAATCATCTAAGGGATATAAGTATAACTTTATTATTATTACTGCTTCTGTATTTAAGATTCCTTGAATGAACAAATTCAGATCAGAAATTCTCATTTAAGATACCTGTGAGTAAAATATTTTCAGATATTTAGCATTGTATTATAAGTACCTTTTGCTGGCACTTAATTATTATAAATAAAAGAAAACATAGATATTTTCAATAAACAAAAATAGGAATATAATTTTTATTATTGTCATGATTCTTTAAAATAGATTTAAAAATTTGATGCACTTGAATCTAAAAGACTTTTGTGAAACTAATCAAACAACCTTCTAAGAAAGGATTTCTTGGCAGGAGTCAAAATTTTCCCAGAACCTTTTTTGTGGAGGGGTTTCAGTGGGGGCTTTTTTAAGGGTAGGACTTTTTTGGGGGTTTGCAGTGCTCTTGCTATCTCCACGTGCTCATTGCAGTAATACTTGTTGCTTCCTTCTGATAGATGGATGAGCGTGCGTTCTGCCAGATCCATACACTGGGCATGGACCCAGTGCCCATCTCCATGAGAGCAGAGGATCATGGCAGGTTTGTTGAGCTCAGTTGAATAGAATGGTACCCAAGTGTTGATATCGACATCACAAGTAGGGCAGCATGTAATCCAGTAGCCCGTCTCAGACTCATCTTCCTCATCATCTTCATTATAGGTGTCAAATTCATCATCACCATCAAAACTATTTGCTTCTGCACTGAAACAAAATTCTTCTGAGTCTTCAAAGGGAGTGGAGTCCCCTGGGTCTTCTGTTGATGTCTGACTGTTTGTGAATGTTTTCTGATCTTCATTCACATCGTCTTCAGCACATTTCAACATGTAGAAATAGAATGCTTCTGAAAGAGCCTGTTTATTGTCTCCCGGTATGCCGAGGAAAACGGTTCCATTTCCCATGTTGCTTCCAAACCATATCTTGCTGTGCTTAATATCTGGGGTCCAATCTGGGGTCTCCATCTCACGAATTTCTATCTTGTTGTCCTCAAAAGAGACAATGTTGCAGACCATTCTTTTTTGATTTTCAAACTGATAGCCACCAACAATAACAAATTCATCATCATTTATTTGAGTCAGGATTGCGCTCGAGACAGAGATTCCTCCTGGCAAGACTGAGCAATTCACTGCTGGGCTACCCAGGGGGAGATCAACCCTTATTCTGTACAGGTTGGCAGGGCGGATGTTATTGGCAAGTGAATGTCCTCCTAAAATATAAATGGTATCATTTCTGGCAATGGAGACATGAAAAGATAGCCCATCCTGAAGCTCTGGAAGAATGTACGATGTAGAGCACCCAAAGTCAAAATCCACCAAGAAAACACGGGGCAGGCAGTCAGCTACGCTATTCCATTTTTCTGTGGTTCTTTGGGCAGAAGGAATGTATGACCGTCCTCCAAAGAGAACACCCATACTTTTCCCTCGACTATACACCACATCAATGGAATGACCATATCTGGCTTCAGGAACATCTCCTACCAAGTCCCTCTCCGTGCAGCGAAAGGTAACTTTTTTGTTGTTCTTGCAAATGACAGACATGACATAAATCTTATCTGAAAGCTCATTGTTTGGTGTTTTCCCTCCATGGATGATATATTGATGCTTTTCAGACTCTAAGCTGCCTTTGAATGTGCAAGTGGCTGGGTAGCGAAGAGGAGGAAGGTAGCAAGAATCCTTAGAGAAAGCTGTAGGCTTCAGTTTGAGGTGGTTATGCTTTACATCGAAATGGAAAACTCCAGTGGGGCAGGACCTTTTGGGCCAGCCTTTTTGGCCGAAGAAGAAAACCTGCCCATCAAAGTTCATCAGTGAGAAGCCTGGTTGAATTAAGGCTATGTTATTACCAACTGTTATCATCTGTAGTGACATATTTTCTGATGGTGAGTAGATCTTTTATCTAAAAGAATTACAAAAAAAAATAATTGAGTTACTCTAGCTCTTCATATAAATCATTGTGTTTAGATCCTCTCATATGTAAAAAGTATGTTTAAAAAAAAATGTTCTCAGGCCGGCCCAGTGGCACAAGCAGTTAAGCGCGCATGCTCCGCTGTGGCAGCCCAGGGTTCGCCGGTTCGGATCCCAGGTGTGCACCGAGACACCGCTTGTCAAGCCATGCTGTGGTGGCGTCCCATATAAAGTGGAGGAAGATGGGCATGGATGTTAGCCCAGGGCCAGTCTTCCTCAGCAAAAAGAGGAGGATTGGCAGATGTTAGCTCAGGGCTGATCTTCCTCAAAAAAAAAAAAGAATGTTCTCCCACAAGCTTGGAGTGGGGCCTGATTAGCAAAATCTACTAAGCTAGGTAAGCAAAGAGCCACAGCACCCTCCTGCCTAGTACAATCCAAGCAGCTGGGACATGTTTTAGACATGGACTCTTCTCCCTTAGATTTCTGGGAATTGTAGTCCCTTTTCTTTAAAGATTCACCACTTGTCAGTAGAAAAAACTACATCTCCCGGCAATCCCGTTCTCTATCCCTGTGGCTACAATAGTTTGTCTTTGTTGCTCCCAGACAGGAGACTCCTAGGATGTGTCTCTGAATAAAGACGCCAGAAGTGCCAAGTGACTAGGTGGGAGCCAAGGCGGAAAACTGGGGAACGGGAGGTGACAGTGGCTGACTCAGACCCAACAACCGGTCACGGGAAAGCTGCAGCACCAGGAAGGGCGACAGGCGACCCTCTGCCCCGCTGTTGCCGGTGCCTCTCCCCGGGGACTCTTAAACAGGTGACCCTGCCGGAAGCACAACCGCTTCTGGCCTGAGCGCGGTTGCCTGGAAACCGCAGCCTGGAGGGACGCCCCGGCCGAGCTGTCGCTGCGGAGTCCTGCCTGGACGCTTTGGGGCTCGACTCAGAATTGCACCCCTGAGTATCCTGAGGTCGCTGGGGTAGGGGGTTGGGGTAGGGGGTTGGGGGCGGGGTGGGAGGCACCGAGGTTACAAAAGCTGTGACTATTTTACGGAACCAAAAGATCTGACTAGCCGCCGTGCAGGCGAGAAGTGACCGGATGGTGACTTTGCCCACGCCGAGATTTAGTCATGGAAGTGCAGAAGTTAGACTTGAGCGAGTGCCACGCCAAAGGCTCTTTGTTTTCTCAACTGCTCGTGCTCCTGTTTTTAGGCTTCTTTTAGGGAAGCAGAGAAGGTTCCTAAACACCTCTCTCTCCCCCTCCCTCCCTCGCTCTCACCTACCCTTCCTACGTTTTTTTAGATAGGAAAATAGTGGCTGTTACTTCAGCTCTCTCTTTCCGGCCCCAAAATTTTGAAGTAATTCTTTAGTAATTCTGTAGCAAGCAGGCACTAAGCAAAGAAGTGCCGGAATTACTCAGAATTTAATATTTGTACTATCATGTTTTTTTTTTAAAGGTATTTACTAGATGAAGTAAGCTTGATACATTTTTATTTTATTATTACCTACCTTAGAGAGATGTCACGAGCCTTCATGTGAAATACACCCCCTGTTTGCAGAGTGAAGTCCTAGGCACCAAAGGTTAAAGGAAACAAAATAGCACAGATTCCTTGACTTTTAAGAGTAAATTGTTAATACGCATCAAAAACAGTATAGAACAGCGATAAGAGGACTCTGACCACTGACTGGCTAGATGAAATCCTGGCTCCGTCACTTACTAACCACATGACCTGGGGCAAGTAATTTAACCTCTCTGTGCCTCAGTTTCCTCATCTGTAAAATGAGATAATTGTACCTACCTCACAGGTTGATGAAAGTTATGATTAGTAATTAATACATGTAAAGCTCTTAGAACAGGGCTTAGCATATAGTTATGATGATTATGTCTGAACTTATTAAAAGTAAGGTTGTTCATGCACAATTGCCTGCCAGTCACGGAAGATGATATTTATAATGTTGGAGATGATTAGAAGGGCTTTAGGCTCTGGGAATCTGCTCAGTGGGTGTAGACTGGGAATTTTTTAGACTAATGAGAATTGGATGAGCATATACAATGGAGGTGCTGGTGGTGAGTTCAATTTAAATAGGAAATATTTCATTCTCCTTGTTACCTTTCTCTACTCCCTCATTTAATATGCAGACTCTGAAGTCGGATTGTCCAAGTCCAAATTTGGGCTCTAAAACTTAGTTGCTGTGGACAGGTTATTTTCTCTCTGTTCTTTCTTATCTGCAAAATGGGGCTAATATTAGTACCTATTCATTGGGTTGTTTTGAAGAATAAATGGAATAACACGTGCAAATCACATAGCACAGTGCCTGGCACATAGTAACATTCAATACATGTTAATTGATACTGTCATTTATTTTTATTCCCCCTGCAAAGGTTCTGTGGACCATTTAGAATCTGAGGAGGTGTTGGTGGGCTTGCCTTGAAGTACTTCTGTAGATCTGATGTAATTAATTGCTAAATATCCTCTTCTACTTCTTATTTTTAGTTTACTTGGGAGATTCCTCAGGGTGTGATTTTTTTGTGTGTGAGGAAGATTTGCCCTGGGCTAACATCCGTGCCCATTTCCTCTACTTTATGTGGGATGCTTGCCACAGCAAGGCTTGACAAGCAGTGTGTTGGTCCACGCCCAGGATCCGAACCTGGGAACCCTGGGCTGCCAAAGTGGAGTGCATGAACTTAACCGCTACCCCACCAGGCCGGACCCGAAGGTGTGATATTTTAATAATCATCTTCTGGGTTATGAAGCCAAGTGAGGACATGGTGAATGAGAGAGATTATCACTAATGTTATGAAAGCAAGCCTCTCTCTTCCTCAGACCGTGGTGGTTTGTAGGTTCAGCAACTTGCCCTCCTTGTGAAATAACCTGGGCAATCGTTTCCTTTATTCACGGCCTGTCCAAGTATGCATAAGAGAAGGCATCTGTGCAACTAAGGAAATGCTCTCCGTAGGAAATAACGGAAATAATATTGACCCTCAATTCAGTTAATTTGGAAACCATAAGCGATTACATTCAGCATGACATGCGGTGATTGTCAGAGTTGCCCACTTTTGGGTGGAGGGAGCACTAAAGCCAAAGCCTGCTTGTTTCAAACTCCTATGAAGACTGTTAGGACGTAAAGGAAGCCATATGAGGGTGATGGATTCCAGACCCCAAGGGGTGACATACACCAAGAACACTTGCTTTAAAAAAAATGCTTTAAAAAAAGTTTCCATTGTAGCCCACTGGCTTCAGTTTAAGGTTGTCATAGGGATTTTGGCTTCTCATAAGTGAAAATATGATTATTGTAGATTAAACAGAACCCTTTTCTTGGGCAAGACATAAGGAATACTACCCATTTTTGTAGCTTAGTTGGGGTCCCTAAAGATTTCTGACCTGTTCTCCCTTTGGTGCCCTGCTGTTCGCTCACCTCATAATTTTGGGGTCCTAAAAAGAGTGGTAAAGTTTACTACTGTTAAGATGAATTAACTCCTCTTGTAGCACAGTTCAAGTATTTGTGTATTTAATTTTTAGATTACCCATTTTAAACCATGACTAGATGACTTATATATTGAAAGAATAAATAGGAACATTGAAAATGTTTTCACATTATTTTGCCATATTTATTTAACTTTTAAAATTTTGCTTTTACTGACTTAAATATGTTTTCACTGGAGTAGACTCTTGTATATTTTCCATGGTTTTAATGTGACCGTATTAGTCACAACCTGGTTTTTAAAAGATTTTTGAAAGGTTATACTCGAACTAAAATAATCCATAAAGTGCTTTTCTTTAAATAAGCTGGATAAAAACAGGCAGATTTTGAAAAAAGAGGACACTATTCTTCAACTGAAGGAAGTTTCAAAGTCAATACATTAAAGATTGTTCTTAAAAGACAGGACTATAGGACCAATAAATTTGTACAATTTCCCAACCCCGTGCTAACGTTCCTCTGAAGGGAGATTTTCCTTTATTCACAGTGAAGCGAGGGCATAGTGAGAATCAAAAGAGGACGGATAGTGTGAGGTCTGGGTTTGTAGTTTCCTGTGTCTCAACTGACTTTTTCCTCCCAGTGAAAGGAACTGTGCTCTGAATCCTTAAATCTTACTGATCGTGTTGCCCATGTTTTCCTGACTGCTCCAAAATAGCAGGTAACCTCAGGTACCTACAGTCATTGAGTGCATGAGTTAACACTACCTTGCACGGTTAATCAGGTTGGAGTCATACGTTTTTTGATTTTTTGCTGGCAGTAAAACCAGGATTAGGTCTTCCTTCTGACACTTATGCCAGAGAGGCGTTTATGCACTAAGATCAATACGTAGGCTCTGATGCCACAGGAATTAAATCCTTGCAGCAGCCTGAGACCAGAAAGCCCCACTGTTTCCAAATTCTCATCATCCCTTCCCCATCTGGACACCCAATCCACCTGTAACTAACACGCTGCTGAAGGGTGGCACTGTCTTTCCCTTAAGTTGACCAACCTAGGTTCCCATCTTTTAGCTTTGGTAGAAATGAAGGTATTGGACCTACCTGAGGGCCAGAGGGGCTGCTCACCCCTCTCTGAATCTTTGCCGCTAAACCGGGTATTAACTGTCAGCACTTGGGGAAGCTTCTCTGACTGCCCACTCTGACCGAGGCAAGCAGAAGGCTGACGGTAGAGAGTACGTGTGTGCTACAGATGTTCCAGTGAACACTGAGCTAACGGGAGTAACTGACTGTGACCTTTTTTTTTTTCTTTAGATGGTTGAGGGAGATATCTGCCAGGGTGTACCCTCAAGATTTAACTATTTCCTTACTGGGGAACAATGGAAATGCAATGTACTGTTTGTCTGTAAAGACACAGAAAAAAATCTGGTTGAAACCTGATTTATATTTTTATTAACAACATTTTAGAAAAACACAGATGAAAGTGAATATAATTACTGTAATTCAATCAGTATGAATCAAATGGGAAATTATTTTTTCTAAAGCAGAGACTACTTACACCAATGTCAGTTATTTTGACT